ATTGATATGATCATGTGGTTTTTATCTCTTCTTTTATTGATATGATTGTTTATATTTATTGACTTGTGAATGTTAAACCATCCTTACATTCCCAGGATGAATCCCACTTCATCATGATGTATGATCTTTTTGATGAGTCATTGAATTCTATTTGCAAATATTTTTTTGAGGATGTTTGCATCCATGTTCCGTCAGGGATATTGGTCAATAAAACCAATCTTATCCCTAGTAGCACCACCGCCACAGTTATTGGCGATGTTTTTGCTTCATGAATTTTCCATTTGCCTCATAAATTTCATGGTTAAAAAAAAGGAGATGGGAACAACTCTCATCTTGTGAGAGAGCTCAATATGTGCAGATAAGTAGACTGCATGTTTCCCATCCGATCTATCTCCTACACCACTTCTCCATCACATAGCTGGGCTTGTTGTGCCTGCCTCATAAATATTGGTTGGAAATTAGAGAGGAATCATTAAGTTAAGATCATTAAGTAAACATCATTAATCATTAAGTAAACATCAACGAAACCATCTGGTCGACTAGTATGTAGTCATTAAAGATAATGAAGAAGTTGAAGAAGTTTCTAAGGACATAGGGAAGGACTTATTTCATAAATGAAAAAAATTCAAAGTATGAAATCATGATATAATCTCAACTCTGTACAAATGGCTGAAATAGACTGGAAGAGTATGTGTGATTACTGGATTTTTTTCTTTCTGTACTTTGTAGTATATATTGGATTTTCTTTCTATGCTTAAAAGTGTGCCTTAATATCATTGTATGTAACATAGCAGAGTGAACAAAACCTATTACTGACAAGAACCTACTTTCAGCTTCGTATATCTTTTAATCTTTATCACATTTTCCCAGATTTCACCACACAATCATCACACCCTGTTTTCTTTGTCAATAAAAAAATTGGTCTGTAACTTTTAATTACATTATTATAAACTATTTGGATCGATAGTATAGCGGGTAGGGCGTTTGCCTTGCACACGGATGACCTGGCCAACCCAGGTTTGATTCCTCCACCCCTCTCGGAGAGCCCAGCAAGCTACTGAGAGTATCTCGCCGGCACAGCAAAACCTGGCAAGCCACCTCTGATGATATGCAAGTAACAAGTTTCACAACTAGAGATGTTACTGGGCCTGTTTGAGCAAATCAATGAACATCGGGAGGACATTGACAGTGATTCAGTAATAAATTATTTTAAGTAACACTAGCTCGAGCTCGAGCGGGCCCAGTAACGTCTCCATCGTGAGACTTGTTGTTACTGTGTTTGGCATATCGAATACATCACGGGTAGCTTGCCAGGCTTTGCTGTGCGGGCAAGATACTCTCGGTAGCTTGCCGGGCTCTCTGAGAGGGGCAGAGGGCTAGAGCGATAGCACAGTGGTAGGGCGTTTGCCTTGCGCTCAGCTCTGCCCCTCTCAGAGAGCCTGACAAGCTACCAAGAGTATCTCACCCACATGGCAAAGCCTGGCAAGCTACCCGTGATGTATTCAATATGCCAAACACAGTAACAGCAAGTCTCAAAAAAAAAAAATGGATACATTACTAGACCCGCTCAATGAATCAATGAACAACGGGAGGACAGTGACAGTGACAGTGAAATAACACTAGCAATTTTTAAAAAGCTGCACATAATGGTCACACCTTTCATTTTTTGTGAAGACAAAAAGCACAAATCTGCAACGATTATATAGTAAAATATAGGTACTCATATCTGGATCAATTTGAAAGCAGCCACAAAGATCACAAATGGATGATTATGTCTAGGGCCCAGACAACTTGCAGAAACAGGTGATAGACATTGTCTCTCAAGCAGTCATGGTTTGCTGGCTTCTGACAGTTTACTTCATAATATGAAATGAAATATATATTGAAATGTGTAATCTTTTGAGGGAAGGGGGCTGTTTTCACCACACCATTTTTGTTTAGCCAGGGATTAAACTGTAATCACCACATACAAGTCAAATGCTTTTCCTTTTTAAAAAAAAGTTGTAATTTAAATACCATGATTTTAAAAGTTATTCACAGACGACTATTTGAAGAAACTATGGTACATCTACACAATGAAATATTATGCAGCAGTTAGGAAAAAAATGAAGTTATGAAATTTGCTTATAAATAGGTGAACATGAAGAGTATCATGCTGAGTGAAATGAGTCAGAAGAACTTATTTGGAAAATTGCACTTATTTATGGAACATTTGAAAGGACCTCCCGTTGATCGTCGATTTGCTCGAGCGGGCCCAGTAACGTCTCCATTGGAGACTTTGTTGTTACTGTGTTTGGCATATCGAATACTCTCGGTAGCTTGCCGAGCGGGGCGGAGGAATCGAACTCGGGTCGGCCATGTTGGCTGCGTGCAAGGCAAACGCCCTTTAATACCCAAGGAAAGTAGAAACAAGGGCAAGAAGTATTAGTCAATGGTTGGAAGCCTGCCTCAAGTGCTTGGGGAGAAGGCAATTGGAAAAATAAGGGACCATTTTAACAAAGATAGTTGGAAATGATCACTCTGCATAGGAACTGTGGGCTGAAAGTGGGTAAAGGAACAAACACGATAACCTCTCAGTATCTGTGTTACAGACCATAGTACCCAGGAGAGAAAGGGTGGTGAGGGAGAGAGAGGGAGAGATAGAAAAGAAGAAGAGGGTTAGAAGCGAAGTGCCTGCTAGAGTCATAGAGGCAGGCTGGGGGCGGGGAGATGGTGGCAGGAGGGAAATTGGGGTCACTGGTGGTGGGAAATGTTGGATCTTTGTGTGACTCGTCATGAACAGTTTTGCAACGGTGTATCTCATGGTTATTCGATTAAAAATATAAATAAAATTTAAAAGTTGTTCATAATACAGTTATTTCAGGCATTCGATGTTCCAACATCAAACCCATCACCAGTGTGACCCTCCCTCTACCAATGTCCCTAGATTTCCATCCCCATCACAAGCCTGTCCTCCTGGCAAGTACAAACAAATTTACTTTCTATTGCTTTCTATAACAAAATGACAAATGGGATCATTAAAAAAATTGATACGGAAGAATTTGTGATAATTGTTATATCTCACATTGGTGCTGCTAAAACCGTTGACTGTGGACTTACTGACCTGGTTGGTGTTAGCTGAGCCTCCTGTGTTATTGTTTTCCCTCGTTAATCTTGTTGGGCTTCAACACAATTTTCTCAGCAAATTTGTTGTTCTCCTACTGGGATGTCAAGTACTTTAGAGTTTGGGGCATACTTGGCAGTGTGCTCCAGGAGACAGAGCTGCAACAATTTGGTGGTGTGGTGGAGCGATGAGGTTCAGTTGTGGAGTTGTGCTGTTTACAGGCTGGAGGATGAGGAATGCTGGGCCCTGCTATCCTGCATTCCAAGAAGGTCTCAAAGTTGTTGGTCTGGCGATGACTCTACCTGGGACCATTCAGTACCATAGCATTCTTTTCAACATTAGTTGTAGAACTTGGTCATTTATATGGTGACAGATGCAGGGAGGGGAATCTGCTCACTCCCATTCTGAGAAGTCCCCAGGTTCTCAGTCTGGAGACTGTTCTACTTGGCACAATTCATCAGTTTAGAGAATTTTGAGAAATGCTCTTTCTACCCTCTGTATTGTCTCTCCAGTCCCGAGGTATTTGGTTTTTGATGCTACTTGGTGCTGCGATCCTCAGAGCACAGTACAAGAGACTTACAACACTGCTTCAATCTGGTCCCTTTTCTCACAAAATACTAAAGCCTTAAAGCCATAAATTTCATAAGAAATGGATAAGAAGTCTGTGCTTCATGAGAAAATGCTCTACAACACTAATTATCAGGGAGATGCAGATCAAAACTACAATGAGATATCATCTCACACCAGAGACTGGCCCACATCCAAAAGAACAAAAGCAACAGGTGTTGGCGTGGATGTGGTGAGAAAGGGACTCTCCTTCACTGCTGGTGGGAATGCCGACTGGTTCAGCCCTTTTGGAAAACAGTATGGACATTCTCAAAAATTAGAAATTGAGCTCCCATTTGACCCAGCAATACCACTCCTGGGAATATATCCCGGAGAGGCAAAAAAGTACAGTCGAAATGACATCTGCACCTCTATGATCATTGCTGCACTATTCACAATAGCCAAAATCTGGAAAATAAACTTGAGTGTCCGAGAACAGATGACTGGTTAAAGAAACTTTGGTACATCTACACGTGGAGTACTATGTGGCTGTTAGAAAAGATGAAGTCATGAAAGTTACATACAAGTGGTACTACATGGAAAGTATCATGCTAAGTGAAATGAGTCAGAAAGAGAGGGACAGATATAGAAAGATTGCATTCATCTGGGAAATATAAAGTAACAAAATGGGAGACTAACACCCAAGAATAGCTGAGATAAGTACCAGAAGTTTTACTCCATGGCTTGGAGGCCAGCCGCACATGCTGGGGGAGAAGGCAGCTCAGATAGAGAGGGGAGCACCAAGTTAAAGGTGTTGGGAGGATCCTCCCAGAATGAGAGATGCATGCTGAAAGTAGACTATAGGCAAAACATGATTGCCACTCAATGCAAACCTCTTTTGCAAACCACAGCACCCAAAAGGAGAGAGAGAACAAAAGGGAATGCCCTGCCACAGGGGTGGGGTGGAATGGGGGGGTTGGGTGGGAGGGATGCTGGGAACATTGGAGATGGGCAATGGGCACTGGTGGAGGGATGGGTACTCAATCGTTGTATAACTGAAACCCAAGCACAAAAAATTTGTAAGTCTATAACTGTACCTCATGGTGTTTCACTAATAAAAAAATTTTTTTTTAAAAAGAGGTCTTTCTTTGCTAAATAGAGAAGAAAGCCAAGGTACCAGTAATTTAGACAAATTTCATTTCTTATTTTTTAAGCTTAATGTATTTCACTTCAATTTCCTGTCATCTTTCAATAAAGTTTTCAAATATTTCTGAAACCTCTCCGAAATCTGTTGTTTTTAGAACACAATTGAGTGGACCAAGAAAGTGAAACTACTCTTTTATTCTTCCAGGTTTTCTGAAGCGAAGGCCCTGGGAGAAAGTATCAATAAAGCAAGGAGTAAAGTTGGTAAGCAGATCAGCTTTGTTCATGGGTCTTTGTCTCTGTGGAAACTGGGTCACGATGTGCCTGTAACTCCTCAGGAGGCCTGTTGGAGGAATACTCTGCCCAAGCAGCTGCTTGAAGAACTCCTTTTCCTGGAAGTCTGTCCTCCCTCCTCTGGCCTTCAGGAAATGAACTTTGTGTCCCTGAGCTCTTGCCTCTCATGAGAAAGTTCAACTGGGTGTTATGTTAGCAGTCCCTCCCCTGGTCATAGTTGCCTGATCACAGGGATGTTCTCTTTCTAGTGCTTGGAAACATTTTGTTTGCCTTCCAATGTCTTGCGTTAGTGTGTGGGACACAGGTGGGCATTTAAAAATCATAAATGAGCCATTTGCCTTCCCAGGGTGCAGCTTTCCAAGCAGGGCTCTCCCACGGGAGGAGCATTCCTGAAAAGATGGGGTTGAGGCCAGAGCAAACACTATAAAGACAAGCCTCAAAGGTCCTGGGAGATGGAACTAGTCTGATACCCCAATATCACAGATGTGCAGGACTGGCCCCTAAGCACAGAGCAAGGAGAAGCCCCTGAGTACCACCAGATTTGGGGGGCTCTTAACCTCAGTCTCAGACTCTGGGTGGGGGAAAAGCACCTTTCACTGAACTCTAACTGTAATAGACCCCTCCTTCAATGATGGCTATAGACAAGAGACAATAGGACAAGTGACACCTGCTTTAACCGGGGCCAAGGTTGTGAGGCTGTGGCTGGTTTTCCAGAGAGGATCAGTGTGCATTCATACCAGTGTCGAGACATTCCTGACTGTGGAAGTGGCTGGTGTCAAGATTCTAATGAGGACAATGAAAATAGCAGACTAAGACCCATCTTCTGTCCACCTGTCCTTCAAACGCGACCTTGGTCCCAGATGCCCAAGTAAGCAGATCTCTGACATCAGCTTGTTACTGAAAACCCTCATGATACACGACCATGACCAGCTCCTGAAGCACCTATTTACAGCTAAGGTGGTAAACCAGAACCTGGACACATACTTTAGAGTTCCAAGGCAATTGTGGAGGACATTTCAGGAGATTTATGAAATTTACTGAGTGCATTTTCCTAGGGAGAAAGTAAATCAAGTCGATTTTTTTGTTCCCAGCCAGTCTTTTAGTAAACCTGAAAATTAGGAAGCTGGAAAAAGGTTCTTCTGATGTGTGTGGATAGGAATAACCCTCATTCCTACAGAATCTCATCTCTGCCTTGAGGCCCTGAGGCAGGACCCTGTGCAGTTTGGCCTTTTGAGAAGAGATGACACTATGCTTGTAAGCTATGGAATCTCTACCCCACATGTGTAAAGCTCAGAAAACTGGCCAAAAACTTCTTTTTTGTACAACTTGGTACATTATTCACACCATTCTTATGTTGAAACTGTTTTCTGTTAAAATGGAAGAATAGGGACTAGAGCAATAGTGCAATGGATAGCCATATTCAAGGCAAATGCAATTCATTTGCCTTGAATATGGCCAACCTGGATTAGATACCCCAGATCCCACTTGGTCCCCCAAGCCCTGCCATTCTCCTAAGTATAGAGCCAGGAGTAATGCCTCAGCATCACCAGGTATAGCCCAAAAATCAAAATAAGTAAAAAATAACTAACTAAATAAATAAATGGAAGAAATGTTCATTATTCTAAATGACTCCCAGTAAGACAATAGTCTTGTTTCTGGAGGAAAGTCATTATCACTGCGTTTATCTGTCCCCTACACAAGCACATTTAGACTTTCCGTCACATGGGCTGTGTTTGGAATGCATTAATATGCATGTGGCTTCCATTCCTTTTATCTTTGAAAAACTTGGTTGAGTCCCTCCCAAAATATGAATATTAAAAGTCTTTGTAATCTGATTAATTGTAGGTCATCTTTTGTTTAAGAGGGACAGTTGCAGGGATAGTAGGAACTGAAACCCAGCGTGCCACTTTCCATCAAATGCTCAGGTTTGCCCCTGGGCAAGGTGGCATCGTTTCCAGTTTGCAGGAAGATTCACTATAGTCTCCTGCAGGAGCCCATTGTTTCACCGTTGTTTCAAACATCATGGGCAGTGGTTTGGAGAGCAAGATTGAATACTATGTTTTCAGACTCTATCAAATCCCAACAGAGGGTGTCCACTGATGCTTCAGGAAACATGAGAGAACCCAAGACATAAAGTTAGATGAGAGTTAGTAGGTGTAATGAAGGCATTATGTTAAACTACCAAAACCAGCACAATAAGGACTAGAGAAAACCTGATTAAGAACAGGCTTCAAAAGTCATCGGGACTACAAAATAACAAAGCATTACCATAAAGTAAAGAAAATATTCTATTCTCTAAGAAATGCAAAAGCCAGGGTGGCATTCATTCAACTCCGCACAGCATTCCCATAGCTTCACAAAGGTAAAGGTAAAGGCCCTCCCGTTGATCATTGATTTGCTCGAGCGGGCCCAGTAACGTCTCCATTGGAGACTTTGTTGTTACTGTGTCTGGCATATCGAATACTCTCGGTAGCTTGCCGGGCTCTCCGAGAGGGGCAGAGGAATCGAACTCGGGTCGGCCATGTTGGCTGCGTGCATGGTAAACGCCCTACCCGCTGTGCTATCGCTCCAGCCCGCCATAGCTTCATAATGCTGCATCTCTCTATTCAAAAGAAAGATGATTCAGAGGCAAGTCAGCTAAAGTGATGACAAAGAGCTGGGGATATGCATGCATGAGATTTGGGTTCCATTCCCTCGTATTGCAATAAATATTAAAAATAATAAGTAATAAGCTATGAAGCTGATGTTTGCTTTGTTAAGCAATTTACTACATTCTTATTCTATTTGAGGGGTTGTTTTGTTTAGTCTTGGAGCTATACTCAATGGTGCTCAGTTGCTACTCCAAGTTCTGTGCTTGTGGATTGCTCCAGGCAGTGCTCAAGGAACCAGGTACTACTAAGGAGCAAACCCAGGCTTCTACATACAAAGCATTCACTTTAAGTATTCCTTTTCTTTTCTTTTCTTTTCTTTTTTTCTGCTTTTTGGGTCACACCCAGCAATGCACAGGAGTTACTCCTAATTCATGCTCTCAGGAATTACTCCTGGCGGTGCTCGGGGGACCATATGGGATGCTGGGAATCGAACCTAGGTCAGCTGCGTGCAAGGCAAACGTCCTACCCACTGTGCTATTGCTCCAGCCCCTAAGTATTCCTTTTAATACTTATCTCCCTGGATCATGTTTATTTCCAATAAATAAGCTTGGATTGTACATTACTTAGGGTTTTTTGTCTATTTGTTTGGTTGGTTTTGATTTAGGGGTCACACCAGCCAGTGATCAGGGCTTACTCCTGACTCTGTGCTCAGGGATCACTCCTGGAAGTGCATGAGGGACATCAGAACCAGGTTGGTTACATGCCTTACCTGCTGTACTATTTGTCTGGCCCCATATTTTTAATTATTGTAATAAAAAACTATAATTTATGCCATTTGTTTTGGTCAGAAAGTTTGAATGTGCTGTAAATGGAAATCTATTGTCTTATATAATGACAAGCATACAGTTGACTTTGGGCTGGAGCGATAGCACAGCGGTAGGGCGTTTGCCTTGCACGCAGCCAACATGGCCGACCCGAGTTCGATTCCTCCGCCCGTCTCGGAGAGCCCAGCAAGCTACTGAGAGTATCTCACCCGCACGGCAGAGCCTGGCAAGCTCCCCATGACTTATTCGATATGCCAAACACAGTAACAACAAAGTCTCCAATGGAGACGTTACTGGGCCCGCTCGAGCAAAACGATGATCAACGGGAGGGCCTTTACTTTACTTTTACTTTACAGTTGACTTTAAATGCAACTTTCGGGGCTGGAGCAAAAGCACAGCGGGTAGGGCGTTTGCCTTGCACGCAGCCAAGATGGCTGATACAGGTTCGATTCCCAGCATCCCATATGTCCCATATGGTTCCCCGAGCACCGCCAGGAGTGATTCCTGAGTGCATGAGCCAGGAGTAACCCCCGAGCATCGCCGGGTGTGACCCAAAAAGCAAAAAAAAAAAATGCAACTTTCTCCTTGTTCTTGTCCTCCTCATCTTCCCTTTCTTCCATCCCTCTCTCAGTTCTATTTAACTAGCTTCTCTGACAGTTTCTTCTCATTTCCTGGCAAGATGTTAGATTTACATGGGTCAGTAGAATTCATGGGAAAGAGAGCTCTGGGCACCCGTCCACTTCACACCTGCTCAGCTCAGTTCTGTGAGCCTACTGTGTCATTAGCTACTTTTTCTTGATGATGCAGAAGTTTAATTTGTTTGTGAGGAAAAGCCTTCTGTGAACCCAAACAGGCCACTGATTGCACCAACCTCCTCTCCCAGCTACTCCTGTGCACATGAGCTGATTCTCATACTGGTGAGAGAACTTGAAATTTATCAGGAAGCCCAACAGTAAATCTTCTCTTACAAGGATTCAAAATGGAAGATACAATTTTCAGTTGTATTGATCTTGTGAAGAAAATAAACAATTTTTGTCTCCAAAAGAGGCACTTTTAATGATTAGAGATTCTAGGAATCTTTAAAAGCAGGACAGACAGGCACTTTTAAGAGACGAAAAGAACAATGATTTGTTTTCTTCCTTTCCTTTATTGCTGTTATTACTGTGATGACAGAGGTCACACAAGTTTGGTTGTGCTCACAGGGGACACACGGCTGGTTATGGGGCTTATGAGGAGGGAGTGGGGGTTGCTGTGGTACTCACAGACATGCTGACAACTGCAGTGCTCACTCCTGGATGTGGCTCACTTGGTTCCAGGGTACCAGAGCACAAGGGACTGAGCTCAATGACTGTGGACAGCAACAGAAATCAAAGTCATGACCTCATCTTGCAAGACTGGCTTGACTAGCGCGAGGTAGGGGGGTGGTAGGCTAGGGGGCAGAGGACACCCTGTGGTGCTAGGAGTCAAAACCAGGCTTCCCATATGCCAAGCATGCACTCGTCACACTGAGCTTCTCTTTAGCTAGAAGTTTTCTGCTTTAGTCACTGAGCCATCC